TTTTTTGGCCCGGCGGCCGGTGTGGCGGTTGATTCTGTGAGGGTGTCGGTGCCTTCCTGTGAAGTTCCAGTGAGCGGTGGTGCGTTGGGGTGGTTGCTTTCCCATGCAGGAACGGCGCCCCTGTGACGGGGATCACACTCAGCACCCGAGTGGGACGGCTGAGCAGGACACACTTCGAACTTGGGTTTTCAGTTAACGCAATTGTCTCAATGGGAAAGAAGGCGATGGAACGGCATGGTGAAAAGTCCGAAAGACTTGTAGGTGTTTCAACAAGTTGTTGGTCAAGTCTGCTGAACGATCGGTCGGCGCGGCCCAGCTGCAAGACAAACGCGGCAAAGGGAAGGTTTTGGGGGGAGTATCATGAAGAACCATGAATCAAATCTTGGAAAAGTAGGGTGACAGCTTGTGGAAAAACCTCGGCAGGTACACAATGCGGCGTCCCGCATTGCTTCACCACGAGCTGACAGCGTCTTCGTTGGGCAATGTCTGTCAGTCGTGCATTGCCCCCCTGCCTGTGTAAAATGGGAAGAGTGGTGGGGTAAGACCCTTTGTCCAGGGTGGGACACACACACACACACACACACTTGCCTTTTGGGCCCCATGTGGCACCTCTTCAGGGCTCGCCTTCGGCCGCCATGTGTCGCCTTGTCATCTGTGCGTTGCAACTGTGCTCGAGGTGGCTCTGAAGAAAACACTGTTGAGTGGCTCCATGTGGCTCAGACTTCTCTAGTCCATGTGGCTGCGAAGAAGTTCTGGAGTTGCTGGTGAAAACATACAGAAACCTTTTCTTCGACTCAGCTCATGGATCAAACTGAACTTTTTTTTTTGAGTCTTATGAGTGTAGGTTCATGATGGTCAAAAGGGGGGTGCTGGTGGTGACCTTTAGTCGCGTACTCTCAAAAAGAGCGTGGCTACGTGCTCCTCAATCACACCGACCACGTCTGCCTTATTACGGGTTTGATGCACAATGCTGCAATACTGCAGGCTGTTTCAATGTTGGAAAGGCCATACCGTTGTCTTCTTTTTGTCTCAGTACCTCGCAGATGTCTGCTTGCTGCATAGATTGAAGCTGGGAAGAGAAGAACGGTGGCAAAGATGTCCTCAAACAAGGTCTTCGAGCGGCGAAAGTGGTCAATCACCCCATCAGCCGGTTCCAAAGCCCTGAAAATTGCTACTGCTCACCGTTATTCATGCATTGAGAGCATAATCCAGACGGGTTAACTTGAGACAGTGGTACGAAATTGATCATGTCTATTTTTGTATGTCTTTTATGTGCTTTTGCAAAGTTACTTTGCAGAAACTTTGCACAACACGAGCGCATTGTTACCACGCACGCGTTTGTCGTCTTTAGATGATGTAACAAAGAACACAGTGGAAATCAGTGCCGTTTAAATTCAGAGCTGTCCCATTTTTCCCGCCGGGTTCGTCGCGCGCTTTTGAGTGCTCACCCATCGTCTGATCATCTTGCACATCTCAGTGATGTGGATCTCAAAGGGGGATTGGGGACAAAAACGGACAAGTCAATGGCTTGTTGTGGTGCTATGTGTACCAGTGGTGGCTTCGGACTTCTTGTAAAGGTGTCAATTAGCGTAGACAAAAGCTCTACACACAGTGGGCAACAACTCTCACTGTCTGAAGCGGGCGAGTGAGAAAACACTTACTGTATTAAGTGAACCCGGACCCGGCGGGATGTATATATAATATATAGTGTTATGTAATTACAGGTTTCAACAAATTGGATATCCCCACAGTATCTGAAGACTCTCAAGAGTACATTAATTTATTGGACTGTTAAAGAACCAGGTTAGAACTCATCTTCATTTGGGTGAACAGCCACCATATCTTTAAGGGCCTAAGGCCTAAGGGCCTCACATCCAGTCTGTTTCGTCAACCATGGCCAAAGCCGCTAGATCAATTTCTTAAGTTCCCAACAACCCGGCCCAGGAAGAAGGGGCAAAACTTGGCTTCAAGAACACATGTATCACAGTTAGAGAACTATTGCTTACAACATTCACCGTCACACGCTGCGCCTGTAGTACAGTTTTTGCAGGGATTCCTGGCAAGCACCGCAAGCAAGTTGTTTAATATAATCCAGCTATTGGCACGGGCCAGTGGAATTGGTCGGTGCTAATGTATAACCAAGCTCAATGCTTCACTTCTCCCACCTTGATGATCATGTTGAGCATAAAGATTGCTTGCGACGCATTCTCTCTCGCACTCCAACTGAACGTTGCAGTTGTGCAGTGCAAGGATATGTTAGAACACAAGCGCTTGGCGCCTGCATCGAACAAATAAAATGCAGAACACACAAAGGGAACTGGTCATTGCCAACGATGCTAGCGTTCCTCTAATCGTCCAATAGAGCCCAACATGCAATTGTCCGATCCGCACTCAAACTTGCCAAACCTTGGACCAGTTCATGACCAAAGACCTCCACCAACCTTGTTCGGTGGGCTGTTTTTCGCCCACCCTTTGGGGAGGATTGCTGGCCTCTTCGCTTCAGCAATGTCAATGGTCTCATTCCAATTGTTCCATGAAACAATGGATCCATGAAGCTCTCCCAATCCATGGCCATGAGTTTGAGAAGTAGCCGCAGCCACTCATGGCCTCGCTATGAACAGCAGAGTTAGTAGCGGCTCGGCTTTCATGGTTTGTGGCAAAGCCACTCCGACCGATCGGGCTGCTTTCCAAACAAACCTTTGCCCGGTTGGTCTCACAAGACATCACAGCAACCAACACACAAACGGTTTGCGGCACGCCCGATTGGCAAATATTGGCAGAAAAACACTCGGCTCTTGGACTCGTGGACACTTGATAGCCGATAGAGCCTTCGCAACAAGTTGAATTTATTGTTTCGGGGAAGAACCAAGTGAATCCGAAGCGACCAAAACCATGATGAGTCTATCCATTGAGTCCTCTGCACCCTTTGCAGTTCTGATCACTCCCTTGATTCATGTCTACAAGTAGTCGGCTACGAGCAGCCTCAGCCCAGTCAGTGGAATAAAGAAATGTCCCTATCTTAGACCTTGTTGCAGCAAAGCCCTCCACAAGCAACAGAGTTGTGCCACTTAAACTATATACATAAGTATACATAAGTTACTATGGGCTGTTGACGCATCATGAACTCCTGGCAAATGCGGCAAACCCGACTCACTCTGGCAAATATCGGAAGTGTTTCAGAGCGAAACCGACTTCACATGCTCACTCAGCAAAAGCAGTCGGAGGACCGGGGCATGTGAACCATCTTGATCTGCCTAAGGCAAATGTTGAGGATTGATGATATCTGGATGGCATACTCCTTTAGGAGCCCAGGTGCCGCAGGATGCCGCAGGCGATCAGTAACATCTATAAGGCATAAGTAGAAGCCCCACGCGAGAAACATGGCGCCTAGTGCCTGATAATTGAGGTTCCAGGTGGAGTGAATGAAACGCACATATCAATGGAATCATTGGAAGAATGCCCGGTGCCAGGTAGCCTTGGCCTAAACGTGGAACAATCTGAGGATAATTGAAATTTGTAGGGCATATTTATAGGAACATGTAGGAACAATCTGACGTTTCTTGACCAATCAAGATTTGGTGACAATCCTTGACCGCCTTGCACCAACCTCTGCGTCACGTCACACACACAAAGACACTAATATATCTAATATGGTCTTCGCAATGGAGTGTAAATGGAGACAAAAAAAGCCCTTCACATGGAGTCCCTAGGGATCCAAGTACCTTCTCAGAAGGTGATTGGAGACACTGTTATGTAGGTTTGGAGGGTCCAAGTACCTTCTGAGAAGGTTTTTGGATCCCTTGGGAGTGGTGCATGGGCAGCTAGGATTGCAAGGAAGGGAGACACTCCAGCGAATTATCCATGGATTTCAAGGCTTTAGCAGTCACTTTCCAGATTGACAACAAAACCTCATACAGCGGTTGACAGACATGGAAGGAAGGTCCCACAAAAAGAACCCTAGTCCGGTTCCATCCATTGTCTTCAAACACGCCATTTGTCAGTCCTCGACCCTACCAAAGAATGAATCTGTTGCATATCATATCCGGACTTGGTATTGCCACAAGCAAAAGCTGAAGGGTGACCACCAAATCGCAGTAGGCCTGACCTGCATCGTTATGGGATGGACCTGCTTGCCTTATTGAGCTCAACGCTCAACAATGGGCTCAACACAACTAGCTTCCTGCAGGTCAAAGCTTCCGACACTTGGTATCACCAACCTTGTTCAGCTTCGGCTTCTCGCTGTCGCTGTCCTGTCCTCCCCGCGCAGTTCGCCGGCCTCCTGGGCCACGTCCATGGCCGTCCGACCGCCGCTGGCACCGGTTTGTGGATCCACACGCATGTCCAACCTCGGCCCCAAACGGTCAGCGGCTCATGATGCTCATGGCTGTCGGTCTTAAAGTGGGAGACCGTGGGAAACAATACCCGCATTGGTCGAAACTGTCCCGTATTGTTTGGAAACATTTGGAATGCAAGACGTATTGTTTGGAACATTTACGTAAGCGTTTGTGCTATCAGTTTCAGGGGCGTCATCTGTCCGAATCTGTGCTGGCGTATCCTTTCCGTTGTGTTCCAGCAGCTCAGATTGCTTGCTGAATAGGTGTCAATTGTCTCTACGCTTGTTGTCAGAGGGTACAGGGTCGAATTCTTAAACAGGCTCAAACACATTGAGCCAGAACAACAAAATGCCTCGGTGCAGTCCAAAAGCAACTGCCACTTACCCGCCCACCGACACACAAACCCTGTAAGTGACTTTGTCTATTCATGACGCCTCAGTTTGAACCCTCCAACTCACCACCAGCTTTTAGGCCCGGGGGGCCCGTCGGGGTGACCATTCTGCAGAATTTGATGCTACAAGGAGGCTGAAATCGTCCGTATATTGGCAAGAAATTATAGCTTTGACTTAAAAAAAGAAATCTTCAGTGCAGACAAAGGACAGGATCCGCATGGTGTAGGTGTCGTTCAGCTGGGCGGCCACATGGATGGGATAGATGCACTCCATTTTAATCCGCATGTCTCTCCCACTGCCCACCTTGCCTCGGATGCTGCGCTTCTGCAATCAGTAGCGTCCTTCCCATAGCAGTGTCCTAAAAGAGTGTCTGGAGTGTTCCACTAGAGTGTCCTACATCCAATTGAATTGGAAGTACTTCTCCCAAAAAAAGATTGATCACAAGTAGGCCATTTCCTTGACATGACCAGGCTCAATGGACATGGTCAACACATGATCAAAACATGGTTGTGCCGTTTTGTTGCAATTCATCGCCCGTAGAATGGATCGTCCATGGGAGTCCACGTCTCAGGTGACCATCCATCAAAAGGTCAATTCTGTCACACCGCAAGGACCTTCACAAAGAAATCAAAGGTCAATAAACAGCAAACACCCATGACCAGTTTCAATTATATAAATGTCGTAACCCTAGGATGTCGTAAGTCATCAACACAAATCAATTCTCAAGGCGGACTGTGAATGACTGTGACAGGTAAAAACATCAGAGGGCATGGAGAGTTTACTTGCTCGGTGGACCACAGCACATTTGCGCAACATCTGACCTCTGTTGCCTATCAAATCTCTCCAATGCCAATGCTCCTTGGATTGGGAAAGTAAGCATTCGTTCAAGTGCCCTCTGACTCACTAAGATAGAAGTGGAACACAACCTGTTTGAAGAGGAAGATTGTGTTGCAAGAGACCATGTTCCACTTTCCATCTTAGTGAGGGTCTTCAGACTTCTTCAAGCCCATCTTGCAGGGTTGCGTGGTCGATGCTCGTCTGAGAACCCATGCCGCGCCAGGAATCTTTGCAAATGCTCCTGTGCAGGCAATGTTTGCTTTCTTTGATTGTTTGGGCAATGCATGTGGGCTTCCAACCAAATCTGGTATAACACTTTGTGCGGATGCGACTTCCGAAAGGCAAAAGTGATGAAAAGGAAAGGCATCCTGTCGAACTGGCACTTGCGATTGATCGCTCTTCTCTTCTCCGAAAAATGAAACATATGCATTGCAACCAACGAACAAGCAGGGGTGTGTGTGTGTGTGTGTCTCTGATAAGAAATCAGCCATATATTAGGTCAAACATATTATAGTTATTGTTATATATCTCTATATATATATATAGGGAGAGATAGATGTAGCTAATCGCCATTTTGGGCATGCCAAGGTCTTTGGTCCAACAGCACAGCCAAGGCTCAAGTTTATGTCGCCACTGCATCTCCCGCTGGGGCCACTCATTCGACTTTTTCTGCAGAGCTCCAAAGGAATGGGTCTCCGCATCAAGCGCCATGGTGCTTGAGATCGGGAGAAATGGACAATGCACAATAGCAATTGTCGAGGGTTACTTGCTTGGTTCCATATTATATGACTTCAATACCATCCAAGTCCAGTCACATGTACAAAGCTTCTGCTGCTTTTTCGATAGACACTTTGTGGACTCGACGCCTGGATTGAGCAAAAATGAGCTTTGCACATTATCAGCCAAACAAACCTTGGGACTTCAACCCTAGCAAATTCTGAAACATACGGAGGACATTGAGAACATGAGAAACAACGAACAATAGAACAGTTGCATCAATGAGCAAATTGTTAAATGGATGTGCAGCGTTGTACACTAAAATGGTATGCTGATAGTGTCTATCAGGTGCACTTCTTCCTTCAGGCTGTGACACGCAATGAACAACTGCACCCTGAAACAACAAATGTGTCGCACTGTTGACAGAATCCTGATCCAAAGGAGCATGATTGCCCAACTTTCAGCGTAGTCATGCCCTTTAGCAACGTGGGTAGATGGAGGGTACTCTAGCGTTGCAGTGTTGGAAAGCTTCTGTGTCAGCAAAGCACCAAAACTGTTGTTTGCACAATCAACCACGTGGTCTGACCGCAAGTCCATAGCACTCCTCCCTGCAATCTCTCTCTATATATATATAAGTCAGTTTGCGCTTCTAATTGGACCGCCTTTACAATCTCTCAACAAGGGCACCACCTGCCGAGCCTTTGTTGTGGAGTTGAGTGGTGCTTCTGAATGCTTAGCGTCTTGGCTTGTCTAGACATCTGACACACACACACACACATCCCCTGCTGCGCACTGTTCACCTTTTGCCCGAACGCTCCGTGCATCGCTTTTGATGCTCCTCCTCGATCTTCTCAGTCCTCCTCATCTGCCTGGAGCTGAGATGACGAACGGCCGCTGGGGGGTACCTTTCTGTCTGCATTGTTTTTGGATGCTCAAGGGGGTAGCTTGCTCAGGGTCCCAAATTGTCCAAGTTCAGGGTTAGGTCCCATGCTCGCGGCTGCGGGAACCTTTCAAAAAGACCAGCACAGCACCAAATGTCATGCAGTTGCCTCCTTGGCCATTCACCCTTGTGGAGTTGAGACTTAAAGTGAGATATGTTTGGTATTGTTTGACATATCACATATCTGTTGGATCACTATCAAACATGAAAAGTAGAAATGGAAATCCTCGACTTTCACACACCATCACTGTATATAACATGTAGTTGACTGTGGAGAATCGGGGAAGGGGTTGGTCGCCACAATTTCGACTAAACATAGTCAAAGGCAACAGAATTGAACACATAGGTTCACTTGGTCACCAAAATCGCCAGCAAAAATTGGCAGTCCTTCTGTGGGGTAGGCTAAACAATGCAATCAGGAGTCTATGCAACCAAAACGGCAGCGTATAGATCCATAGCGATGCTCAGGAGACTCGACCGGAGTCCCCGGCACATGATGTTTAGCAATATAATATGTAATTATATATAGGATATTATATATTATATATATGAGGTGGTTGTCTGAGCCAAACTTTCTTCATCGCTTCCCATGGATTCCATGAAGAGATGTCCAAGTCTGGGAATCCAATGAAACTACAGATTTCTCGAATGAAATGGTGGAACCATGTGTAACCCAGGTACTTACCTCACGACACCTGAATATTCTGAAACCATCCATCCTGGGCATCATGGCACTGGAACTTGCCAACACGACCTCCCCACAACTAGAGAAGGCTGGTCTTCAAGGACAAGTATAAAACATAGATGAAAAGGCATGTTGGATATGACCACAACGCACACCCCTTGTTGGCCTTCCATCTTGGCCGCCACACCTCCTCTTCAGCGGCCTGGACGGCCACAGTGTCCAGCTCACGCTGGCCCTCCTGTGTTCAAAGGTGACTCAGGAGGGATAAACCTTCCAATCTCACCAATTTGCGGGAGCCTGGGTGTGGATTGACGCTAAAAACGAGTCATGGAAGTGCAAGTTTGATTTGTCATGTAGAACTTCACCAAGCGCTTGGCACAATCAGTTTCGGCCCTTTGTGGGTTCTCAAACCAGGAAGGGTTCGCTCAATTGAAAGAACTGGATCATGCATTGTGTTGCCGGCTGCAAGCAGCATGGTGGAACATGTATAACTTTGATTTGCCAGGAAACAACATGTGTATATATATATATATTTACTTTGCTTTACAAACCAAGTGTAGACTGTGGAGAGAGAACTGTTGATCCTTGTAATCGAACTACCCCTAAACGATCCTGTTCACAGCTTCACCAGACGAAATGCCTTCGTCCGAGACTTTTAATCGTGAGGCTTTGACACTCCTCGTCGATCCGCCGCATCCGTTTTGTGACGAGTTGCCACCACCAAATGATGGAAGTAATGTTTGCATGGTGTGTAAATTCACTCTATATAATTATGTCCAAACATTTTGCTGGGCTTCTCTGATAGTTTGTCAACACAGATTGGAAAAACATTGGAAGCCTGGGAATTCCGCCTTAACAGCATGTGCTGACTTGCCATCTTCAGAGTCATCCCTGCCATCGATTTTGTCACCGCTCTCAATAATATCCTTTTCATGACATTGACATTTGACGGAACAAATGTGATTCAATCAGGGGCTGAGAGGATATGGGGTATGAGTGTTGCATCATCGCCGATTTGACAGAGTTTAGAACAAAGGCCAGGTCGGTGCCCAAATGACCTGTATAAGCATAGGAGATCCAAGCCGGCATTTCTCAGCAGAGAGCTCTCTCGACCCTTTCGTTCTAGAGTTTCTGTTATCTGTGTAATAGGGCCGTTGGATAAAAATGTCCATCCAGGAGAGCATCATCAGCCGGTCTTCACCCAACAATAATGTGCATTTCATGGAAGGTACCCCTGGGTACGCCATGGTGGAACAACGTGAGGTTCTTACATTGTGTAAGTGGAAACATATCATAGGATCAAAAACAATCTTGACTTATAGACTTAATGTCTCACTATCATACAAACATCATCAAACATCCTTGGTACTACCTGTTCCAGTGTTTGTTCAATCGGGTTGTTAAGGCATCAAAAGAAGCGCGGTCCTTGGTGATCATGCGGCCACCCTCTTCGTCCTGCTCCACCAGGCCCATCTCCTGCAATCAATGCTCGTCTAAAATCACATCAGACTGAGTTCCAAAGAGGAGGAGAAGGGATCCTAAAAGCAACAAGGGTATCAAAAGCATATTCCATGTGGAGCAAAGAAACTCCAGTGGCAAGTGATGCACTTGCCTGCTGGACATGGACATTGAAGCGCAAGTGTCTTGGTAGGTACAACACTTGCTTTCACCACCGCCACCAGCACCACTTCCGCCACAGCGGGTTCTTATTTGGTTTGCCATGGTTTGCCCACCGAGACATCAACCGAAGAAACCAAGAACGCACAAATCCACAGAACCGCTAGAAGCAGAACCACACGATGCACAAATCGCTGCATCTACTCTAAGACAGAGAGCGAGGAGCTCAAAATCAAACTCTGAAGAACCGGATCCCTGGGCGCTTCTTCCGAAAACTAGGGAGGACCATTAAGGTGTATCACGACTCCAGCCACCTTCCAATCGACCAGTTGTGGCTTCCCGTGATGTCAGCACCGGAACCTCTTCTTGTTCGAAAACAAAATAGAACGTCGGAAACTTGTCCCCTCCCAGCATTTCCGAAGTGCACAAGCTGGGAACTACAGAAGCGTGAAAGGATGTGAACGAGTAAAGGATTTCCAGCATGTTTAAGCTTCATGAAGTTTCAAAAGCCTTTGGAACACCTCCTAACATCCATCTCCAAACTGGACCCCTCAATGGTCTATCTTCATCCGCACAAGGTGGCTGCCGCCTCCAACTGTTGGAGGATATATCGGGCAATCTTTCCAGAGGATTTCGTCTCAGCCCGGAACGCCGGAACGCCGAACGGGAACTGCATTCGTCAGACGAAGCATCCAGCTGTCTTCGTCCTTTGAGGGAACTGCGTCCGAACTGATGTCAAACTGCTTTGCTACTGCTACTGCTACTGCAGCAACAGTTAAAGAACACCAAAAATTATGCATGTTTATAGCAGTCAGGAGCGCTCATCTTCAAGTGTATGGATTGAACATGATTGAACGCTACCTGGTGGATTAATAACACAATATATTGCAGGAGCGCTGTGTGCAAGTAAGTTTCCAAATCAAGGACAACTCAGAAGTCTTCTTCATCGTAGATTGGGTGATGACGACGCAAAAACAATATATACTGTTCAGATTAAAGAAGTGATTATAACATAACCACTATTATAAGTGTTTTGTGTGTTTGTGCCAAGCAGCACTTCAAGGGTCTTGCAGCAAGAGCCAAGGTCATGATTCCTGCCACTCCCTGAGCCCCGGACAAAGACATTGGTGCAAGTGCCTCGTCGTTGCTGGCTGCCATACACCTTTCGGAAGGCTCCTGAGCACAATCCCAAACGCCCAGCCACGTCCACCAAGTTCAACTTCTGACCGAATGTTATCCGCTGCGGAAGTCCGTACAGGGAATGTTCAGATTCCTCGATGTAGTGGGCCATTGTGGGTTGCTGACTTCGGGTGGATTCTCTGTTTGGATGCCCAGTGGCCCACACCCATGCCCTTGCGGATGTAGATCTTTCTCACCATCGAAGCGGTTCGGACGTAGAGCCAGTCAGGGTCCTTGGTCTGACAAGTCAAAGCACCTGACTTTGGGGGGGCCCGTTGATTGTGGCCTTTGATGTCCAGAAACAACCAGCCTTAGGAGGCTTTAGGCTGGCCAGTCTTGAGTAGGGCGATGCAGGCTGATGGCTTTGTTGAGTGAACAAGGTGTTTCTTTTGCATGCTTTTGCCATCATTCTTGCAGTAAAAGCAGCAGGGACCTGCTCACTCGTATGAAAGGCAAGCCCCCAGTCAAGAGTGGTTTGGATGGATTGACACTGTGTCAGTGGCTCACAACATCTGTACAATATCAAAAACAACGTCTTGTGAAACAGCTAAATCACAATCCAACGATAGAGGGTCACGGTGCTGTCTTTTGTAGCTACACAACTTCCATCTAAGTTCAGGATTGACTATGCTTTGGGTACATCCCGTTGCCAGTAACAGTGGATGATGATGGTTAGTTAAGCAAAGGCCTTGTTCAAAACACCGTGATAATTGCGTACCGACTGCTATCAGGTAATGGGACAAACACAAACACACCCTAACTATGCTTCATAAATCCACAAATGGGGCAACCGGCGAACGTTGGAGACTGCTCATGGCAGGCAAGCACTATGCAGGCAAGCTCCTTTACGACAAACAAGTGTTCTGGTGCTCAAATTTCCATTATAATATTTTGAAAATGCTGGTTTGGGGTTCAAAGGAAAACAACAATTCACAACATCAAACTGCCTGTTATCTTGGATAGAACATGGATGGATGTGAATCTTCCTTCAAATCTGTATCCAAAATTGCGAATCGACCACAAAATACATAGTTTTGGCACCAGGTTGCCACAGTGGCAAGATATACTTCCAATACCATTCATGTTGGTCTTCTGGTGGCACCTGAAAAAAAGAAGGAAAAAACACAACAATAACGTCACACCGCACTCGGTCGCACTTTTCCCTCGTCCCCAGTGCATCCAAGGAACTGAAGGTGGCAACTCCCTGGCCTTGCTGGTTTTCACCACGTCTGCCCACTTCGGAAGTTCAAAGCGACCTCTCGCGGCTTTCGAGCGACACGTCCGCGACATGTCCGTGACGTGTCACGGTGGAGAGATTCTTTGCAGCGGTACAGCGGGCATGTTACAAGAGGATGAATTCAGAAAACACTGGGTCCAATTTCAGCGGAAGAAAAAGTATACCTGGCCCCTATGTACAAGAGACTGTGTGTTTTCCCTGTGGTCTGTCACATGTTTTGTGTCGGGGCAGGAATGGAGGATTTCTTCAGCGCAACTGGAGTTCACATCAGTAAAGAACATCTGCAAAACAATATCCTGTCCACATGCAACCAAACTTGAACGAACAATTGTGAGCGACTGATGCAAAAACCCGTCATGCACCGCCCAAGTGAAGCTTAGGCTTGACCCAAATGTTTGAGGTCAAGGCCTACCCAGCTCTTGCGCAAAGAGGAACTTTTGAGGCTGAACACATGCACGCAATTGCAAATGTCCTTGTGCTTTGTTTGTGTTTGCTTCGAACCAGTTCAACACCTGGTGTTGATGACAGGGGTAACAAATTGTTGCATGTTCAACTGCGGCCGCAGTGGCTCTGAGGGGCTGCAGGCATAAAAATATCGCTCTCTGAGACGCTGCTTGTACATATTTATATATATGGTGCCGTCATTGGCACCAGTGTCAGGAACGTGAACTAGGTCCACGGCAGATATTATGCCGTGTGTCAAATCAAAGGTGGCACTGTCAACTTGTTTGTTTCAAGCACTTTCACTTCTTCAGGGCAATCAGCGCTTGCAGCAACTCTTGTGGATTCAGTGGCCCAGGCTTTGCCTCCTTTGCCGCTGTTCATGTCTCCTAAACTTAACTGCGACCTTCGAGGCCCCCTGCAAAACCACGCAGATCGAAAACACACCCACCCCACCCCACCACACCGCCCACTGAACCCACCCGAAACCACACGGTGCGATATCAGCCGTGGGTCAACTACGTGGCAACCATGGACCATTTGATTAGGTGGTGTAGTGGGGGCCATACATTCATGTACAACAGGTAATTATCCACATCAAACAGATGTGAAAATAACAACATAAATAAATAAATATATATATATATATCACAACCTCTGTAAAGAACAAATGCTTACAAGTACACATAAGTACACCCATTTGCATATATACAAGCAACCTGAAGTAACACACCGATCCAAACCCATTAAAGCTTGCCCAAACCTCAAAGCGTTTCCAAAATAACATACTTTCAGGAAAATCCCTGCACAAAACAACCAATCCAGATACATTAATATTTTTACAAGCAGTTGGATGTAACGTACTGACAAGCAAGTGCCTCTCAAAACAAAATAAGCACAGTGACAACACATCGTCTGTTTGTTGTTCATTGGCTTGATGTAGAGTAATTAACCCAGCACGGCGTGTCTTCTGAGAAACTGCGTGAATTCAGAAGGTTGTCTTGGAATAAGTGTTCTAGAGAGAACAAATCCTATTGCAAACAAGGAGGGTCATAATTGTTAGGACAATGTGTTAACTTGAAAATGCCACATAGAGTATGTATATATATATATACATCCTAGGAAGAAGTTGCAAAGAGGAGAACTGTGATCACATGCGGATCATATTGGGATCAAAACACCTCTTGTGTGCTAAGACCTATGTCAAAGCGAGGCCACTTTGATGATCGATTATACAAGACCGCGACTTTGAGCTGAGGCTCATGTGAAGGAAATGTTACGGACAGTTCGTTCTACCATGATCCCATTCTGATTTGAGCAAGTGTTGACCTTGCACACATTTGCAGACATTGGAACATGGATCAACATTTCCAGCAAGACCTGCTGCCAGGGCATCAACTGTTCAGCATGCTTTCCTGGTGTGATCATGGTGAGCACTCGTTTTATGCAACAAATGACAAATGCTAGGCTCTTATATAAACTATGCAAAGCCTTTAAATGTTGTTGTTTTGTTTATTAAGTTTTTATGTTGAAGCTTGGGTCCCGAAGTGGGCATGTCTTCCAATACCGAAAGCCCTACAGCTTGACCGCTCTCCCGGCTGTGTGTAAGCAGGATCTTGCATATGAAACAGCCATAATATACTCGAGTTTGCTTGTTCATACAACATCAATTGAGTGGAATACAAGTCAAAGGACAAACAAGCAAGTAACACACAAGTGTGATGGAAAGGACGACTTCCGCAATAGTAGAACAGCCGTCCGCCATAGTAGAAAGGCCTGCAACATGGGTGTTACCACACGATCTTATCACGATTTGAGCCTATAGGTTTGGATCACAATGGAACGGAAGAAGAGTTGCCCATGGGTGATAAAGGTAGCTTTAAACATCGCAGACATACATACCAGCATTTAAGGTAAATCTAAGCATACGATTCCAACAATCCAAAACATGGGGCTTTCATGGCCAAGTTTGTGACAGCGGGCCAAAACAGCCGTCCGAGTCCTTTCAGCAGAGTTCCGGCAAAAAAAAGGCGATATTGTAACATTGTAACTGTCCGATACCCTGGTCTGCCGGTCAATAAAGGCATCAGCAGGAATCGTCATCAAAGGTCAGGGTATCTGTCTCCTCATGCACCAAAAGGGGTTCTCTGAACAAGTCAGAGCTGTTGAAGCAATCTGCATTCAGCTTACTGTGAGTAGTACTACTGTATATTATGTTGCATACATACTGTGTAGAGGTCCCCAAACAAAAAAACTGTTTCCAATAATCTTGAGGGATTTATATACATCTTTTTTGGGAGGAGTCACGATAAGTTGTACTCCAAAATAGATTCCCCAATAGACAACTGAGATTTGGTTAGCTCCAACAACAAATGATTGCATGAAACCACTGTCACATCATGCAATTTAAATAGCCTCTTGCCTGGTACAAGTATCGATTGTGGCGGGACACACAAAAACTAAAAAAACTGGATGCAATATACAACCATATACTTAAAAAATGCAACAACATGTTCTATACTCTGGTATACTCCGTGTCCTGTTGCAACAAAACATATAAACAACATGATTTCCTTGCTGGATCACCAGTCCATGCTGCGCGCCCCAACGCCCACCTTGACGTTTCAAGTGCTGAGAGAAGGCGGAAATAAACTTCTCAGGTTCCACATCTTTCCTGAAGAAGGTCAAGTCCAAAGGGCGTTAAATTCTGGTCCACGGCCATGAACCCAGCCCACAAGCCATAGACCGACGGCCATTGACGTTGTTAGCTTTTTTACCTATGTTTTAACGCCCACTCTCTGGCCTGCCTCCTTACTCAATTAAAGGCTGACTTGTACGGTCCTAGCTACTGGACGCAGGATAGCTCATGCATGTTGAAGGAGCTTCCTTGCAGAAGCGCTCGCACTAATCATTTGGTTCCTAGATCTTTAGGGAAGCTTAACAAGTGCCCTTTTTATCTACTGTATTTGTACTTGAAACCTGCTTCAACAGGCACCGGGCCTCAACAACATGACACGCCCGATCTTGTCGTCTCAGACTAGTGACTAGTTTGTCTTGAAGTTGAAATACAGCATGTCAAACCCAAGAATCGTACCCCAAACCCGCATAGTGGCATAGTTCCAACAATCCGATCCTGCTTCGAAGGGCCTCCTGGGGCTGCAGATTCCTCTAGGGAAGGAGAACCGAACATGTTCTCGTCCTGTCAGCTCACCCAGTGACCCAGCCTTCGAGATTGATAGGCTTCCCAATCCAGTGGTGAAACGGCCAACATCTTTTTTCAGACAGGATACAAATCACATTGTTCTCACATTGTTCTTACAAGTGCAGCTGTTTCAGAAATCTTTCAGGAGAGTAATTGTTCTGAAGGAACTTGTTCATCACCTTTTTAAGGTCTCCAGGACTCCTTAGAGCAGCCGTCCACGGCCCAGTCCAGTCCGGACTCCCTCTCCAGTCCAAAGGGCACCGTCACAATCTTCCGACCCTCCTGGAATCGAAGGAACAATCATGCCAGGAACATCCAGGAACCCAATTAGTGGTAACAAGTGCCACGCTAGTAGTAACAGGTGCCTTACTAGTAGTAACAAAAAGCGAACGCATGGGGTTCACTGGGGTTCACCTCCCAAAAAAATGAGGAACCAAATCAATCATGCCAGGGGTTCTTGAAGCTCCCCAAATCCCCTGAGGCACACAAAAACGGTCTGATCCGGGGAATGGACGACGACCCTTCGAGTACGCGAGATGCCGAGTACCCAGCAAGCAGGTCTTGCCCGAGTCTTGGGGTCAAAGACATACGTGTTCAATCATTTTGTTGCATGTTACGAAAACGCTCCGTGGTCTTCGTAAGATAGTTGTCATGAAAACAGCTTTGTTCTCCATTCTGGAGGTTCTGCATTGACTTCTTGATGCTAGCTTTATGGAAGTTCATCTGCCCATGTTGCCATCAAACATGAAACCTGCCAGCTACGTAAAGCATCCTAAAACCTTCTGTTCATCCAGCAATTGGTCAGCTCAACGTCTTAGTCTTAGGATCTGCAAGTGGAGACTATACGTGTGTTATACCTTTATTTTAATCGGGAGATTCCAATCATCTACTACTTATCTCAACATATCTCAATCAACCTGTTGTAAGGGCAGGTTCCAACCATCGGCACTCCTTGAAATACTTGTCATATGCATCGATCGACATGGCTGGGAATCTCTGGACCAACCGCTGGGCGCTCTCCGTAGCCAAGATACTGAAGGTCAAAAATGACCGAAGGGCGACGGTCGGACCAATCGAATGTAAAAGCACTGTCCAGCACTGCCGAAAAAGGGACAGGACCTTCCAGCATGTCATTGCAAAAAGGTGCTTTCAAGTTGTTGTTTTCTTATTCAGAATAATACACCAAAGGGACATCTCTCGTTCGTTTTGTTAAAGGGGCTTCATTCCGAGCCTGGCAATATATAATATATACAAATTATGGATATATGGCTTCAGCCCACGGCCAGGTTTCTCAGAACAACACACGTCCCCCAAAAAACCGCTTGGCCACGCCCTACCACCCGCTTGGTCGCTCTTTTGCACCAGCACTGCTTTCGGCGGAGCTGTGAATGTAATGTCTCTGCCAAGCGGTTCAATTCGCGGTATAATATGTATAAACTATTGTATACATAAATAGTCTATATAATATATAGTTATAGTATATATAATATTATATAGTTATATAGTGTGGCAAATTAGTTGAAAGGAAATCCTTCAACACCTCTCGTGCGAATGGAACGTGGACATGTCCATCAACGAGTTTTACATGTAACTACATGTTTAACACGAGGTCTTTGTTGCGTTCAATGTGCATCCATCTTAAACAAAGATATGCCTATAGATGTTTGTTCTGTCTTAGGCAATATGCATCGCGATGTCACCATTTGGCAGGACCATCTTGAAGAGCTACTTCAGTGACTGAGCATTTTGGATTTCTCTCTCCTGGTTGGAGTACTCCTCCTTGGTTGTGCTGCGACCCGGAGGCTTCGTTCCCCAAACGAGCGACAAACATCTCGTGACGGGGAAAACCCCGTGTATCCATTCTGGAACATGGCCATGGCATCCATTTCCATGAAAGCTTTCAGGGAGTGTAGGGAAGCTACTTGTCACCATTGTGGACCATGTTCAGTATCTGAAAGCCATGCACACTTCACAGCAGGCACTGATCCGTGCCTATCACCTTTGGCATGGTGTGCTAGTAAGGAACTCCCATGAACAAAGGCCAATACAAGCCTACTTACTCCTGTGGCACGTTAGCCTTTCATATTGCTTCCAAAGCATTGTTCTGACAGTGTACATTACAGTAATTAATAATTACATTTGGCCTGAAGCGGTCTGAAGAGTCGTTGTGCTGTACTCAAGTCTGAAAAACATGTATTTGTGGGTATTTTACGTCAAGAGTGCATGAGTCTTATCTTCCATCGCGGTACCGTTGCATCACGGTCGCCGCCTGGAAGTTCTCATTGGCATCCTCCACGTCGTCCATCTCCGACTCGTCCCAAGCTTCAAGGGCTTCCAAGCTGTCGCCTCGGAAGACCTGATAATTTCCCCCTCTGCCTTGGTTCTGGTCGAACTCCTCGTCATCCACCTCATGTGAGGAGACAGCAAGCGAAGGACAGGCGACCGGGGGTTCCAAACGTGGGAGACATGTTCGTCAATGTTCTGCCCAAGGGTGAAGTGCTATCTGCTACCAGGAATACAAGAGAAGCCGAGCATGACCGACTTGCAAAGGAATAGTATGGAATCATATTATTGAGGTGATTAGGACAAAATTCGGACAACATCTTTATGGGAAGATCGTTGCCAGCATGTGCATGGGAGAACTGACCCAACCCTCATTGGCGTTTCAGCAGTATGCGAATGCCCAAAACTCAAACTCTTAGATCGCAAAAAACTACCAGGCCAGCTGAATATCAAAAAATTGTAGCCAATGCACGCATCAACGGTGGAGCTCGCGCAACTACCCAAAGCAAAAGCAAGCTGTGATACGTCCGGGTGTGCCACATTTCCCGGCTTCGTGTCATGGAACTAGAGTACAGTGAGTACAGTGACAATCCTGCTCAGTGAGTAGTGTCTAGACTTGCAAACAAGTTGGGTGTGTGGAAAGTATTAGTGCCCAGTGCCCGGGCCTGTTCCGTCTAGATTCTAGATTTCATAGTTCATTAGCTGTTCCATCTTCACGGTGGTCATAACGCGGTCATCGTTTCACAACAGTCACAGTGACATCTCCGTGTCATTTGTGTTTCTTTTCACAACGTTGTCACCAAATTCACAACAGTGTCATTGGTTTCCGACCAGGGTCAACTCCATCCGCGAGGTCAGTCTCACCATGTCCCATAGCGTTCGGCGTTCGATTGCTGTTTTCACGTCCTCGGTTGCTGTTTTCATCGTCTTCACAAGAGTGTCAAGACATACATGTTTTCCTCAACCAGTCGTGGAACAACGGGTCAGGGCTGGAGTTGACCCGTCTTGTTTATCCCATTTAGTGGACCAAATCGCTGGCAGGGACCTCTTGCCGATGGGAGATGGGGAGAGGCCCGCCCCCGGAACCCCTTTCCATTCTGAACCAACCGGGGGGGTCGACCCAAACCGAATTGGTCAAATCCTCACATCAGTGTTGTCACACCATCTTCCTCAGAATGACAAATGCGTGAGTCAGAAAGCTTGCATGGGACGACGGGAACACAACAGCTTCTTGTTGGTACATTGTCAATCTGACTGGGGAGAAGATAGTTCATGAAGACAACAAAGAATCCATTGACATCCACCTGTGTGTGTGACAGTAATGTGGACAAAACCCTCGAAACGAAACAGTCTATGTTTTCTCGCGCGGGCTAAGTAGTATATAAGTAGTTCGCTTGCAAACAAGCTGGAACGCTTTCCCTCTTCCAATTTTAGATGCGGTTTAAATATGCTAAATGAATCGTTGCGCAGGGCCCGCTGGATTGTCCGTTACAAAAATCACAAGTGCTTCGTCTCAACAAACTCTGCTTGGCCTCAAAATAGGACCCCTTGAACCAAAGAAAAGATTCTAGCCACATTCGAGTCGATTTGGCCAGTGGTTAGGTACCCGTATGTACCAGTCTTCACCTTGTCCTTAAAGAATGAGACAAGACAATACCATACATCTCTCGTCACACGTAGACCATGTGCGCGCGATTTGGGAAGCCTGAAGCCCATAGGATCATTAGGATCAATCGGATCGTTGCAGATCGACCCACGATGGCCCAACTGTCCCCCTGTCTCAGGCTCACGTCCTAAGCTTGACGTGTTGGCCAAAGCCATGTGACATCACATGACTCAGAAGCCCCGCACAAAGTGTCCTTTCGCCTCTTGCACTGAGTCCCCAACATTCATCAGGCTGAACGTCCTGTCTTTGCTGTGGGATCGGTGCTTTCTTATTATACGAACACACGTAAGAAAAGCAACAAGCGCACCTGAAAGGAAACCATGCAGCTAATTCTGTAGCCTTTTTTGGTTGGGTTCAAAGTACAATATAGAACCGCACAAGGCAATCGTTTACAAAACCCACCCGTATTGCTTCGGGGGGGAAAGACTGGAGGTTCTGGGAGCTTTTGTGGTTGTTTCACCGGTCATCAAAGAACTCTACGTATAGGAGTTGGATGGTCTCACCAGAAAAACTTTGGTAGTTACCTGGAGTCTCCAAGTACTTGTTTTTGAATTGCTCGATTAAAAATGATTGAAGCTGTTTGAACTCATACTCAATATCATACTCCTTAGTACACGTTGAAAGGCATGCGTGGAATGTGATTTCCACGGACAAGGCTCTAATCGGCGGCAACAAGTGCTGTGGTGCCAATTGGAAACGACAGAAATACACAGCCAACAGTTTATGAACTTTCACAAGCTCATCATACATTCAGTTCCTTTATCTTCTCACCTGATTTTGCCATGATTCAAAACATGAGGACTACAGCTCTTTCAGATTCTTGGTCTCGTTATTGATTAAACCTGAATCATGATAAATCATGAACAGCGAACAAATCGTTAACACCAAACATGCCAGCTGTGACCCGCGGTTGAGCTCTCTAGAAGACAACCGAGTACCTGGCGGTCTTGACTGGTCTTCAAGCGATTTTGGTGAGCGAGGGTTATATAAATGCTCGCCAGTTTCTTTTTATATATTTCTATAGGATTCCAGGTGCTTCGGGTTCACTAAAGCCATCTAACCATTGCACACCCCTTTATGTGCTCCCCGCGCTCTGCTCCATCCGGCACTGTGGGCGAAGCCGTGGAGCTAAGCTGGCTGTCGCAAGACATACTGTTGATTCACGAGTCATTGGACAGGTGTAGGATGGTGTAGGTAGATAGAACTGATGGGCTGGACTGGCACACACTGGCTTGAGGCCTGAACCACTGTTTCTCTGAACAGATCTGAACAAAGAAACAGTAAAGGGTCTGAAAGGACCCCCAAACCCAACTGGTATGTAGGAACCTTTGACGACGTCCAACTGCAAGGGCTCGGTCAAAAATCCTCTGCACATCTCTGCACCTTCCAACTCTGCCATCCGGTTCATCAAGTTGGCTTTGGTCCTGCATGGCAGGACCAAACGAGAGCGGATGCCGGACCCACATCGGTGGCACCGAGGAACCCACACCGATGTTCCCATGACATCCCATCTAATTTGATCTACTGCATATTATATATATATATGTCTTAGGTTGAACGTATATATGATTATATGAACGTATATGTTCTAGAAGTTATAGGATGTTATGTCTTTGATTACCCAAACCAACTCGAAACAAATCGCCCGGCTCGACGTGCCTCCGTTGCATGTCCCGGTTCTTTATGATATAGGCCGAACGCACATCGGGTGCCACGTCCTTGCGATGATCTCAAGAGAAACGAAGATCTGACCTGTAGTGGCCATGAAAATCAATCAAATATACTATAATATAACAATATATAACATAACATAGTGTATATATATAGTTATACATATAGAAGTTGGTCTTTGCTTTCCGAACAGCCATTACTGTCAACTCCTTTGTCTTGAACCCCCTTGGCCCTCAAAGCTGGAAAGTTCTATGAAAACCACCCTTCAATGCTTTATTGACTTGTAGGTCCAAAGAGTTTTGTAGCTCCAGATCATCCCAGATCCATGTCCCACCCACCCCCGCGGGTCATGCCGCTCGCAGCAAACACCTCCTTTTCTGCGGCCTTGTTCCTTCTCAATTTCACGCACCCGATG